TCTCTCCAAGCTCAAAGCCTTCAATATATGCTTCGGGTTGCTACAATTTCTCAAAACAGTTGATGGCTTTCTTCTTCGATGAGTTTCAGCATCTTAAAATCCAACTGGAAGAAATAAAATCAGCCACCGACAGCTTTGCTGATGACAAAGCTATCGGAAAAGGTGGATTTGGGAAGGTATACAAAGGAGAAATCTCTCACACTAAGGGCCGAAGCATGGTTGCTTTTAAGCGTCTGGATAGTAGATATGGCCAAGGAAACTCAGAGTTCTGGAAGGAGATCATGATGCTTTCCCGTTACACACATGAAAATCTCGTCTCTCTTTTGGGATTTTGCGATGAGGGTGCTGACAAGATTCTTGTGTACGAGTATGCATCACGTGGAAGCCTTGATCGCCATTTGAGTGCCRCTACTCTCACATGGATGCAACGKCTTAAGATATGCCTTGGGGTYGCAAAGGGACTAAGCTACCTWCATGATCCCATGGGGACACAACAAAGAGTGCTTCACCGTGATATTAAAAGCTCCAACATCTTACTTGATGAGAATTGGAATGCTAAAGTTTCTGATTTTGGCTTGTCGAAAATAGGCCCTGCTAATCAGAAACACACGGCGGTTGTCTCTAATGTTGTAGGTACCATTGGGTACCTAGACCCCTTGTATCTCGAGAAGGGCGTGTTAACGAAAGAGTCTGACGTATACTCGTTTGGCGTGGTCTTGTTTGAAGCATTGTGTGGCAGATTATGCTTTGAATACAGTAATGGTCAGCATCAGACTTTAGTGCGATTGTGGAAACAAAAATGTAAAGAAAATAAGTTAGATGAGATTATCTTTCCAGATCTGATGCAACAAATGGATGTGAATTCCTTGGAAACATTTTCAGACATTGCATATCAATGTTTGCAGAAAGCTCGTGAACAACGGCCACTGATGGCTCAAGTTGTGGAAAAACTGAAGATTGCACTTCAATTTCAAGAGATTTATGAAGTGATGGAACTGCCAAAGGAATATAGTGCAATAATCAAGACTTCATTAACTCCTCTAATCTTTAGATCCGAAGCGGAACTAAAGAGGCTTCTTTCAGAAGGGATCCTCGTTAATGGTGGAAAAACGGTAATTAATGTTATAAATCCCTGTTTACGAACCGAAATATAGGAGGATTAAAAATCCTCTTGTGGCCACGGAGGTTCAAATGCGGTGACTCCAGGCTATCTGCAAAGCAGGTGGTCGCCTTGAGATTAATCAGCTCGCGGGCTGGATATTCATGTTAATAAAAAAATATATATATAGACATAGACGAACGCCAAACTAATTTGTAGTTATTTTACTGCCAGTGGTTTTCAAGAAATTGGAATGGTGAACATTGTGAATTGATATCCGCAAGAGAATGTTTGAAGTCGGGTGGAAATGAACATACGTCTAAAGAGATTTCAAGGTATGTTGTCCTCCTCTTCGATGCTTTTGTTTTTATGTTTTTGGTTAATTAAAAAGTGTATTAGCTACGTATTTCTTAAAATGTGTGCATTTATATCGTGGATAGTTACTTTTGGACGAAGTAAGTAATATTCTTCTTTGCTTCGTGATGTCAGATTTGTACGAGGTAACTATATACCATATAGGGGGAGATTCAAAATACATGCCACAACTAAATTCTTGTCGCCGGGTATCATGTACAAAGTAAACCTTGTGTTCAAGTTCTTCTCACCATTACAGAACTCGAGGGATCCCACATTTTTCGAACTCAAGTACCAACTGGGAGATGAGATGGATTCTTCAATTTCATACCTTGCTTATGGGAGAGAAAATGGATGGATGACGGTTGAATTGTATCATTTTACTAGCAATAGTACATGTTTTGACCTTGACATTCTGTTTGAGAACCTAATGTATGATCTTGACCGCACACCTTTAAAAATCATAATAGAAGGCATCGAGTTTCTTCCCCTGGACAAAGTAAGTTGCCAAATATATATATATATATATATATATATATATATATATATAGTGTTGGGTTCCGGAGAGAAAGAGAGTTAAGGTGAGAAGCATAAGAAGGATCTCCACCTTTGGATGCACATTAGGATGAGGAGCATTGAATTAATCCCTGTATCAAGCATAAGTCATGGGTGGGTTTGAGATTAAAGGTGTGATGAAAGAGTCTAGATCTCTTGTTACGCTTCTCACCTTAACTTTCCTTCTCACACCTATATGTATATGTGTGTGTATGTATACATCATTTTGAAGAACAGACAAAAAATGTTCTTTTCTTTTCCAGTTTTCTTTCAAAATTCAAGAACACAACGTAAGAGAGGAGATATGGCATTTGGAGAATGGGAGTTTCTTCCATATTTGATCAAAAATTCAATATGGGTATTGTTTTTTATAGGTGGAAGATGAAGTGTTAGAGGATGAGGAGGAGGATATGCAACCAACATCAGATTCTGATGCATATTGGGAACAAAAGTTGCCAAATGATTATAAACAAATAATCAAGTGGTCAAAAGATACTACCAAATGGACAACAAACCAGGAACTCTATCATCATTTTTGCAAGGGATTCCTAATTAAAGGGAATGGATTCCTGATCAATAATGGTGACGAGGTACATCCGATATGCAATGATTCATTTCTATCGCCTTTTAACCAAATGAAATGACCATGAACATGGATGGGTCTGCTGGTTTAAAAAGGATCTTGGAATTGCTATAAGAGTAGGGTTGTTTGTTTACCTCTTAATAGTTCCATTAAGAAGCAAACTCTGAATCGTTAAGAAGTGAATCGTGTTTGGCAAAAAAAAAATCTGCGTCTTAATGGTTCTAAAACTCTTTGAATGATTTTGTATCCTGGATCTCCCTTAACCATTAAGAGCCCTAATTTCATTGTATACTATTACCAGACAATTATCTTTCATTTTGCACTATATCATGAGAGTCTCTTAATCATTCTGATCACTTAATTATTTTGCACCAAACCATTCAGCAATTGCCAAACAGTCCCTTACACGTCTATTGATTGACAGTGGTTTTCTCTAGCAAAAAATGGGAAGAAATGTCCTATGCTATCAGCAAGCACGACTTTGGTAAAATCCGACTGGGAATGGGATTCTTTCTCCGAATCAAGGTTATTTCTCTATCTCCCACACTCTTTCCTCCTTGTAGACTTTGGCAAAATCCGACTTTTGTATGATCTAAATACACATCCAATTCTAATTATCACACTAACGGAGTTTTTTTTTTGCAGATTCAAAGAAGTGGCTCTTAATTGTGCTATCCAATTTAGTATTATCTGCAAAATCAGATCCCAAATATTGTCTCCTCAATCAGTTTATGCTTGTTACCTTGTCTATAAAATAACAACAAACCACTCCGAGTTTGTGCCTCCTTTGCGGGTGGTAGATAAAAGACATGGTTTAAGTGATCGTCATTTGGCTAGTTTGTGGTATATCTATCTACTTAGTCCTCAAACCCGAGTCCTCAATCCAAAGGATGGTCAAGACACCCACAACCCATCGAATATACCTACAGTCCTCCTTCCACGATTGAGGAACGATGGTTGGATGGAAGTTCAAATATGGGAATTTCAAACGGGTACAGTCACTGAAATGATTTCGATGCACTTTGAGCTGAGAAGTGCCCCTTTATGTTTTTGGCCACTTAAAGGGCTTATTGTGCAAGGCATTGAGTTTAAGCCCTTGTAGAATCTCTTCTTTATGATTCAGCCGACATTAATTGTAAATATTATAAGTTTTGTTTCCGTGGTTCAAGCAGCATAGCATCGCATCACATATTTTGTACAATTTTTAATTTTATATAACACACATATATATAAAATAATTTATTATTTATGTAATATTTTTGGACTTTCTGTTTTGGAATTTGAGTTTGATCTAATATGACAATTGACAATATTAATAAATTAGTTGGACACGTCACAACTCACACCTCCAATTTAGTTTGAAGTTGATTTTTTAACTTGTTAGACTATTTTTAATTATGCAATATGTATTTAGGAATCGGATGTATTGAAACTCTTTGTTTCTTTGGACCACGGTCACTTTACGGTGCAGTTTGGACTCAAACGACATCAAACCGTATCACAAACACCCCATCAATAAAGTTAGTTAACAAGATGGATGATATATTTTGTGTTCCTATTAACAAAATTTAAACAGCATTCCAATTAAGACGACAAATTTAAAAACTTAATATATGCAAAGCGAAAAAGACTGCAAAACCAACCAAACTCTAGCAAGTAGTAGTGTCCAATACAACAAAATTGAGTTTATAGGACACCCTCAATCTTTTAACGTCCAAATAAACCGCTTTATAGGACTTAATTTATAGAACCAAAATATAAAACGTCTTATCTAAAGGTGTTGTAATGAGTTTATACGACGCTTTTGAGCGTCTTAACAAGTTTTTAGGATATTTTTAATACCAAGTGTCGCATTAGCAACTTTATAGGAGACTTTTGAGAAAGTGTCCTATAAACTCAATTTTTTTAGGACATTTGTTTTTATAGGACAGTTTTTCAAATAACGTCCTATAAAGTTGCTAATGAGACACTTTATATTAAAAGTGTCCTATAAACTCAATTTTTTTAAGACATTTGTTTTTATAGGACAGTTTTGCAAATAACGTCCTATAAAGTTGCTAATGGGACAATTTATATTAAAAGTGTCCTAAAAAACTTATTACGACGTCCAAAAACGTCATATAAATTTATTACAACGCCTTTAGATAAGACATTTACTTTTTTGGTCCTATAAAGAGGTCTATTAGGACGCTTAAAAATTGAAAATGTCTTATAAAACCGATTTTGTTGTATTGCACCTTGATGGAAAATACCATACCAGCCTTATGACTTCCATCATCTTATATGCCCAAGACAAAACACACACACACACACACACCAGCCTTATGACTTCCATCGTCTTCGTTGACGGTGACCGGCAATCGGTAGGGTTTGTCGCAGACCGAGGTTTTGATCGAGGGAGGGCTACTGTTAGAATCAGGTTTGAGAATAACTCAAAGAAAGATATGTTGAAAAGATACCAGAGTGCCTGTATGAACAAACATATCTGTACTACTAACTTTACATATAAAACGATCCATACTTTATTTATCCGACCATTCTACCTCATGTTTTCATGCACATTCTGCTTACTCGTCCTAATTTCCAGACAAAAACTTGTGTTTCTTGATGCGTGTACCCTTAATGAGCATTAACATAACATCGGGAGCGCCAACGGTTTCTTCTCGATAAACGAATTAAGGCACTTCAGTTTCCCAGGAACAAAGCCATTGGCAGATCCAAATTGAAGAAAGACTATTAAAGTTGCTTACTTTTTGTGCAGTAAGTTGGTCATGATTGGAAAATCTGGAGCTATATCAACTGGGACCTGTAAATTGATGGAGATACACATCAAATTAGTGTGTGTGTGTGTGTGTATATATAGACACACACATGCAGGAAGATAAACATGAATTTACCTCAACTTTTGCCAATTTTTCCAAAGCAATGTTCAAAGGTTGCGTCATTTCAGAATATTTTTCAAGAAGCAGTCGTGCAGCATCTTTATCGCCTTTGGCCTGTATCATAAGTACTTCCCTACTTAAGCTCTCGACCGCACCCCCAATCTATTACGACAAATTAAACAATTCAAATCAATACAAACAATTCTTTATTTGTTACATTGCTTTCATTTTTGCTTTTTCTTTTTCTCCTCTTTCTTCAATCTTATTTTTCTGTTCAAGCGGACCCACCATTCCGTTTCACAAAAAATATCATCCATTATCATTTTTACTTACATAGGTCGAGGAAAACCATAGGTTATGTTGTTTTCTCATGATGAGTTTGATTCAAACAGCTGCCATGATCTCAATCTGATTCACGAAAACAATATATGGGGAAGTATACCTTATCAAAGTCAACGGAGAATGTTTGGTCAGGATGTAAAACAAACGCCCCTTTCTCGAATAACCAGTTAAACTGTAGTGCTTGTCCTTTGCTGATAGACACGAGTGAAAATCGATTATTATAAATGTGAAAACAACACATGATACAAAAAGTTAAAAATGATGATTAGCCGAGTGGAGTTACCCATGAGCTTCCTCTAACCCAAAACGAACTGAGCGAAAGCAGCCTGCAAGGAAAGAAACATAGATGGACTTCACAAGGCTCTTCGGAAGTAAATCCTGGTCAACCCAAAAGAAAGAAAAAGTCATAACAATCTTGTTAATGAAAATAACTCTTGGTAGTCAACGAATTGTATATGGCAATCTTATATAAGGTTAAAGATGAGTAGATAGAAACATATACATTCATTTACACAAAGAACACCAACATCAATCACAGGTGGTGGGAGTTGGATTTCAATCCTTATATGGACATTTTTGGTCAACATATGTGAAAGGCTATCAGTCTAAGTGCTTGTTTATTAGCACTTAATGAATTTAATAGGACTCGCATCTTATTCGGTCAGCTACATATGACTGTTTGGCAGTGGCTTAATGATATAGAAAGTGGCTTATTCATTGAGCTTTCAAGGGAAGCTTTATACAAAAAGCCAAGTTTTTTTCCAAAACTGCCCCTCACAATTAAAAACATGTTTATTCCATCTATGAAAAAATCCCCCAAAACAAAAACCTTCTCAATCTATACAGACAGATTAATGACACAAACATCTTTATCCATACAGGTTTTGATGGAAAACCAACCAAACAGCCCCTAAAGGAGGTAAGAAAAACATGAAAACTATCATGATAAATTAACGAAGTTATTGTACTATGCCCTTACTAACCTTGGCAATAAGGAAATTCAGGGCCCAAAGGCCAACAATGTCAGCTTTCGCTTCTTCAAGGGCCGAGTGAAGTTCTTGTAGCTCCTGTTTCACCATATAATCAAGAAAACAAACCAATATGTCATCAGATCAGAAATTATCTCCAAAAAACAAAGCAACACTTCGTTAAGTTTAATCTTCCATTTTTTCATGTGGCATGCCATGAGAATGTTTACATGGGTGATGAGTCCCAGCTGTTAGTATGTGTCATCCCAAGGCCAGGCCTACTAAAGAACGCTTGAATTTCAAAATATATGTGGAAAAATAGTAAAACTGACCAATCTCACGGTCGACTTCCGACCACTTGGAAGTGTTATTGTATGAGGTCCTATCCCATGACAGCACTCGTGGCAAATTGTGTGAGTGAAGAAAGAGTCAAAGCCAACTAGCTCCCGCTGTTCCTTTGTAATACATAAGTCAGCTATAGGCTGGAGAATTAACTTGAACCTGCTTAGGAATAAAAAATCACAGGTATAAGATCGTTTTTATAACTTAATTCTCAAATGTTCTAGCTCTAGACATAAAAACATATGTATTTAAGAATGCATATATTTAAAGAATGCATATATATATATATATATATAATATATATATAGGGTTGGGTTCCGGTGAGAAGGAAAGTTATGGTGAGAAGCGTAAGAAGAGATCTCCACCCTTTGATCAATCCTAATTGAATGTCAATACTAGTAAGGTGTACCGAGATGCACCAAATCAATTCCTTTCTAAACCGTAATTCATGGGTGGGCATGAGATTAGAAGTGATCAAGGGTTCAGATCTCTTCTTACGCTTCTCACTATAACTTCCCTTCTCATACGATCCTTCGCCTATATATATATAGCTAAAGGTTATTTTGAGAAATGGTAAATATTTTAGAGGTAAAGAAGTGATCCTAGCCCTTCATACGGTCAAGATCGGATTTGACCCGTCAATAATTGCAGCTTTTACTGGTCAATAATTACGGCTTTGACTAGCCAAAAATTGCAGCTATGCGAAAAATAGAGAGGGTAGTTTTGTAACTTTTACAAATTGGCGGCAAACGGGTTCATATATGAACCTATGTTATACACATATGAACTATACAATTCATATGTGAACTCGTGTAATTCACATATGAACTATTTAAACTGACTCACATATGAACTAATTAACTGATTCACATATGAACCCATTGAATAAGTTAAATAGTTCACACGTGAACTAATTAACGGGTTCACATATGAACCTGTTTGCCGCCTATTTGTAAAAGTTACGAAACTACCCCTCTATCTTCCGCATACTCATGCGAGAAATTATCAGGTGCTTCACGGTCAAAGCCACAAATGTTGACCAGATGAAGAGCTAGGATCACTTCTTTACTTCTCAATTATTTATCACTTCTCAAATGTATAGGGTCAGATTCAGTGAAAAACCGCTAAAAAATGAAAAACTTAGGAACATCCTGGTAACTGTACATCTGGACAGTATGGACATGTGCATACAAGTAATATGTATGCAATTCGTCCATTATGCACATGTGCATAACATGCACACAAGCATAAAAACCAAGAAACAACTTTAATTACTTATATGCACGTGCATACCATCCAGATGAATGGTTATCAGGGTGTTCCATAGTTTTTTTTTTTTGTTTTATTGGGAGGTTTTTCCCTGAACCTCCCTCTCTCTCTCTCTTATATATATATATATATATATACACACACACACACATATATATATATATATGTGTGTGTGTGTGTAAGAGTGTGATCATGGTTCGTTCACTTTACTTTGCCTCAGAAACATTCTTCAGCATGACCATTGATGTACCGCGATCTTTTACAATACGCTCGTCATTCGGAAGATTGAAGGCAGCAGTTTGAGGACCCTTTACATCCTGCATTAACATTATAAAGAAACCTCGTATTTTAATTATATGGTTTCATCGAAGTCATAGGTGTACAAGTGGAACTCAAAACATTCTAAAACGTATTACTCCCCGTGAACCATAAAAGGTTAACAAAATTTGTAGTTTCAGATATAAGTGCAATGATTCTTTTTTAACAAAACATTTAGTTAAATACTTCTGTTAATCTCCAAGGGACTCACTCCTGAATTGTAAACAAGCTCGATGACACGAATAGGTGCAGATATCACGTCTTGTGATTTGTATATGTTATCCATTGGAAGATTTTGCTCCAATACCTACATAATTTCATTGATTAGATAAACAGAAAATATCATTTATAAAGTCGAGAATACTTAAATTTGATCAAGGATAAATCCAACATGATACCTTCAATTGATCCCCAAAGAGTTTAACTTGAGCAGTTGCTTTATCATCCCGAATTCCTATAAATGCCTCAAATGTTGCCTAAGGAAAAACTAAGAAAAGCCTTGGTCAATTCCTATGAAGTACCTAACAACAAAAATAAATATATGTTCCATATTTAGATAATAACTTGAATTTTAATCTGCTCTCTTACTTTTCTTTATCTTTTGCCATGAAAACATAGTGAACGATGCAAGTAAAACACCATTTCTTTATGCCAGTATTTACTTGTAAGATTGGAACCAAAACAATTATAGGAAAAAACAAGCAACATTGGCCATACTTAATTTAAGATTCACTAAATAAAGACGAAATAAGCAAAGATGCAGGACAAGATTATCCATGTAAACAATACCTTGTATCCAAATAGCTCATCTTCGTACGTCTCGTATGGACCAATAGTAACATCCAACTTAGAGTCCTGAGGAAGATAAAAGATGCACACAATTACTATATTTAACAAAACAACAGAAAAAATACACAAAATATAAGTGCTACCTTAAACAAACCAACTTTTTAACTTCAAAGAGAGTGAAATATAAACAAAGTCTTGATGACCCTATTGTCCTCAATTCTATTTAAATGATACAAAACAGCAAATTTTAAATGAAGCCAAAATAAATGTCTTACCATCTTTAGTCATCAAACAATATCTTAGTACTTTGTGTAAGTTGACACTCATTTGGAACATAGAAAAATTGGTAACCTATAATGGAGTTAAGTGTGCACTGACCAATTCCATCCAGGCTATATCAGAGTCATAGTAGTCATTTGAAAGGAAAGCATCAGCCTTGCTGTGTAACAGTCTCTTCAAACTACAAACCCGTAAAATGGCTATGTTAGAAGCTCGTACATTTGAATACATATGAATCAGTGCTAAAAAACTTAACGATATCTATACCTAGGTGAACGGGTCAAATCTCCTGCTTTATGCAACAATTCAGCAGCTTTTGCAAGAAAGGCTGAATATTCTTGAGAGTAAGGGCTGATATAGAGATCGCTCGTAGAATTATTGCTAAGTGCTATATTATTAGAATCAGAGTCGCTATGCCTTCTAATAACATTGAAAAAGCCTGTTGCATCTTGATATTCAATTTCTGAAAGCCCTTTCACCCATAATCCGAATTCCTGCCCAGAAAAATGAAAACCATTAGTGTACATACGGGTTTGACACATATGAACAAACAAATCTTATACCATTTTATCCATGTCAGGAGGGTAGAAGTTGGCACCAGGTGGTTTCAGCATCGGAAATGCAGCTTTGTATTCAAGACCTTTCCAACCAGCCACTGGCTTTGTGGCTTCAAGAAGCAACTTCACAGCAGAGTCTGCAGTCGTCAAAAATGCTTCATTTTCATCAAGACAAGACCTGTTAAGAAAAACAAACTCAACTTCGAAAGTTAAACCATCTACCCTTTACCAATTACTCCCTTGTGTGAACTGAAAAACAAATAATACTTACCATGGACTCTTATTTATTGAATAGTACTTCAATTTTAACATGTCCAACTCAGACATTTGAGCATGCCCATTTAACCATTCCCTTAAAGATGGATTGCTGTACCAAACCTGATTCAGGGAAAAAAAGATAATAGAAATTAGAAGCAATATTCGGTCAAAGTCTTCATCTTTAACTAAGAAAATCACATAGAAAAATTAGAAGGCTCAAGTAACTACAACGAATCTGGCATTAGTAACTCCTACAAGCCTATCTCCTCCTCCTTTGAGTAAATGTATTTTAACTAGCAGGATCAATAAAGATAGTGAGATCATGGTATGGTGCTATAGGTTGGTACATCCTAATTACTTATACCTTCAAACGCTATTTCCTCATTTTTTTCATCAATGAAAATCATTATTGTAATTTGCTTGATTCGCTAGAAAAATTAGAAGATCCTTCGTAATCTCCTATGGTTTTGTTTCCTTATTCCAAGAGAAAGAACCAATCGTTACTATATCTATTTTCCCATTCTATCTAGTATAAATAGATGTAAATACATGGGAAATAAATAAGAAATCAATTTAGGTTTTCTATAAAAAATAACATAATGAGATGGTAACCCTTTATTAACATGGGGAAGTATTTCAAAGCATAAAACATAAGTTCTAATAAAAGAAAGCAAGCAACTACTTATTAATCATTGTAGATCTGAAAAGATCATCTAGTCCATTAGGGCCTTCACAGATTTCCTTTAGGTCTTTATATCACTCTGGTTTCACTTTTAATCTATTATTGACCCTAAAAGTAGGAAATGCCAGAATGTTCGTAAATCAAAGGGGAATATACTGATTGATTGTAGATCCAAGCTAACAGATGACAAACAAAGATTCAAAAGATTAGGTGTTTTTTCAAGTTCACTATTTCTTTCGTAGAAATGATTCGAAATCATCATTCAGTAAACTAACCACGTGTGTATAAATCAAAATTTATCAATGATTTTGTATAAGTTCATTCTATAGACCTGCTGGTGGAAAATATCATCCATCGTTTTTGCAGCTTGAATAAGTAGAACCAGAGCTTCCTTGTCCTCCTCAGTGAGACCTGTCAACTGTCATAGAAGAATTTGATTAAATTTCTATCATTTTACTCTGATAATAAATAGAGATAATGGAAAAGAAGAAAGCAACCTCTGCCGTAAGTGAGATAGGAGCATAACGATTGAGCTTCTTTTGCAGAAGCAAAGTCCGTCCTTCCGTGTTGTCTTGGTACCTAGCAGAAGTTTCATCTAAAAAATAAGCTGCTATGAAGCATTCATTTATATGGAATTTGAGTTGCTAACAAGCACAGACTTCAAAATGATCAAGTTGGGAATCAAGCAATAGTTGATGGTCGTTGTCGTAACAACTAGCATACCAAATATGCCTTTGTTGTTGGATGTGTTTGATATGGTACGTGATTCCCTATAATGTAATTATGATGCACAATATGTATCACAATTAGACAACTATTTATGTATGCATATAGGAGTGCTTCTATGCTCAAAGATGTACCTTTTGGTAATTATGTCAAACAGTTGACCATATTGTCCATCCATTTTGTGGGGTACATAATGAGGGTCTCCTTTAGCAAGTAAGTGCTTGTAGTCCTCAACTGAGATATATTTAACAGCTGAAACTTCAGATTCCTACAAGGAAACCAAACAACATTGATTTTTAGAACAAGTTTATAGCTCGATAAACCTTCGCTTTGTACACGCCCACAGCAGGCGCTTGTCGATTGGCTGTCTTATTACTTGTATCACTTTTTTAATCTCTAGAAAATTTATCAGTCGTCTTATTTTTCATGTTTTAAGTCAAGTACACTACCATTAAACCTGTTTAGATGTTACTCAGTCCATGTACTTTTGCACAGTCCAGTAGATAAATTAGTCAAAGAATTTTCAACCTCCAACTTCTCTATTTGTATATATATACAGACATATGCAACTAAGCATGGTGGAGGCGGTGTTCGCATGTCTGTTAGTGTAGGATCTATACAATGTATTTCTGAGTAGACACGTAGTCGATATTTTCAGAGAACAAAGTATTGCATATAACGTTTAGTGTTACAAAAAGTTGCATAATGAATCTCTACTTCATACCCTCCATTGAAAATTAAAGTGCGTGTTGACAAAAGAGAATAAAATCCACATTTAAGAGTCCCATTTAATGTAAAACAGCACAACGTTCTCATGTTCTGCGAGTGTAGTTACAATCCTTGGAACTTAGTGAATCCCGGAAAGTAAACTCTAATTTGGAACCAAGGGAGTTAACTTGAAGCTTTGTTATTAATTAATGACAAAGCAATAATGGTTTGTCCAGTGAATTTGATGATGTTTATATATCAGGCATGTATATGCCGGAGCTTTTGGGTATGTCCCTTTTTTGCTAGACGCTATCAGTTGCAACTTTGTTATAAACGAACCAAACCAAACCAAACCAAACAAAGCCCAATATATCCCACCCGGAGGTGGGGTTCAGGGGGTGGACGTATGTAGACTTGACCTCTACCCCAAAGAGCAGAGCGGCTGTTTCCTTGAAGACCCCGGGCTTGTTCAAAGTATGGGGGGAAGAGGACAAAGCTTGCCTAAAAAATTTCGTGAAAAAAGAACATAAGGACATTCAAAAAAGAAGAGCTTGAAGACAAGAAAGGCAGTGCTAAAATTTAAAAAACAAGTAAGCAATAAAATTCAGAGAGTAAAACATACATGTGGAAGCAGGTGCATGAAAACGTAACCAAGGTAGGGAGGAGGACTACACACCCCTAGTCTAATCTAGGATTTAGGAGGTCCAACTTCCCGCTTATTAGCCCTGCCCCCAAAATAAACAATGACTAGATAAACCATTACCTGAAGAGTAAAAGCTTCCAAGGGAATTGGGGCTAGCGTTGTCACGAGATAAACATCATCAAATTCATTATCAATGAACTTGCCATCATTTGTAACACTACAACCAAATGCAAAGGCATATAATAACTTCATGATAGCAAAGCAGAACATTAAAACTCAGCAGGACGAGCGCAAACGCAAAAGAATAATATGTTACAGAAGCACACAAACGTTAGTAGAATATTAAGAGCTTAAGAAAAAAAAATGATACTGTTGTACCTTAGGTAGTGGGATCAAATAGTCAAATATGGCAGGCTAGGTTACAAGTGCCTAATGCAGTGGTACAAGTAGGTAATGCAAGAGTAGGAAAGCGGGATAGTACAAATAAGAGGGGGTTAGGTCATTAGGGTTTTATTGATCAGTTCATGTGTTTTTTATGGGCGAGAGCCTTGGGAGACATCTGGAAGTCTCGAAGTGCCTGGAACTCGATTGTAACCCTTCGATTGTCTGTAGTTAATATGAATCATTCTCCAATTCTGCTGTTATCGATTCGGTTTGTATAGGAAACTTATTTGGGGAATGAATAATACATCTCTGTTGTGAGAGAAAAGTATGAAATCAACTTAGACCACGTTTGATAAGAGAGAAATGATTAGTTTCCCATCAACAAACACAAATTTCGGGTATTTCGTCTTTTATTGGTGAAAGAAGAGCCACCATAGGTATGGCCTGTCTTGGATGCAGATTTACTTAATTAAAACACTTGAAACACACAGCAATGAAAGAGACAAAATGGAGAGTTGGACGTAGAATAACTGAGTGGAAAGGGTACACAGGACAATACTGAACTGAACAAAACAGTGATGAAATTGGACTGTTGAACAAATGGCTTAACTGTAGAAATCCCTGAAATTTCTGGTTTTGCAGTATAATGCCTAAAGTTTCTGAATTTCAGAACAGGGACCAGGCTTTCAGTAACTTAAAAAACTATCACAAAGCTGCAGAAAATCACATTAGGGACATGGAATTTCCGGAAATTGTAGCACGGAGCCACTGACCTCGCGTGCAATGTAGAATAACCCCTTAACTTTCAAAATTTCCAATTGATCCTTGAATATCTTATTATTAGGTGAATGACCCCTCAACATTCAGGCAATGATAAGCCCTGTACTTTCTGGAAACAGTTACAGAACCAAGCTTCATTGTATTGAACAAGAAAGCAGATATAACTGTAAGCCTGATACAACTAGGACCCATAAACAACTTACTTCTTTGTGCCAAACATGCGTAGAAACAAACAATATGCATCTCTATTTCATATATAAAAAAGGATAGTGGTAACCAAAAACTGAGCAGAATCTATGAAGAAGATAAGTTTCACTATCGATTAAGAAAGTCTAACTGTTTGGTCATGGGAGCATGAGCATATAAGTCAGGAAATGAGATACAAAGTTTACAAGGCCTAATTAAAAGCTGATGCCTACGGCAGGAGAATGCCAAACTTCATAAAATAGCAAACCCATGAACCTGAAACAAGATTTCTCTTACTTACATTGGATATCAACTTTCAAAAATATGACATCAAGAATGCCAAAATAAGGACTTCATCTTTTGCTTACTCTTGAAGAAATTAGGCAACAAACAGGTTTACATTTCAAGTTTGGTGGTTGGAGGGTGAGGTAAATGGATAATTATAATTAAAAAAGGGTTTTCCAAAGAGGCAAGGCGATAATTAATTTGAGACACCTTCAAATGTAAATTGCATTCATTGTTTTGGGACAGATATAATTATGCAAGATACTTTAATTTATGAAGGCTAATATTTAAGATTCCATGCAATACAAGAATGTTCCTATGTTCATATTTGGTGAGCCACTTATAAATAAAACTGGCATGTCAATTATATAGAAGGTCTACCATTCTTGCAAGAAAACAAATAACAATTCAAAGGCATCCTTTGGGAGGTTTACGCCAAGCTCTTCCTGAAGCTCTCTCCTGCAGGCATATGACATTTAGAAGTTATAAAACCATAAGTTAAAGCATTGTATGAACATCACATAAACCATTTGAGAGGGGATTACTGGGAAGTGAAGCAGTTTAGAAGTAGTAATCTTATGATAGAACACATGCACTTATTTGCAGACTTTTGCAGGATGATTTTTCCTATTTTGGAACTTGCAATCACTATGGAACTTGTTCCAAGGCTTGCTATCATATAGGAATATTGCCTTCGAATATAGTACATTTGTTACATTGGTTATTATTGCCAGACAGCAATGAAGAAGGAAGGAGCATATATATAGAATAGAGAGAGAGAGACTCGGGTTCAGGGGAAAACCACCAAAAAATGAAAAACCGATGAGCACCCTAATAACCATTCATCTGCACTCTATGCACTGTGCATGCAAGTAAAATGTCCCTAATAACCATTCATCTGCACAATATGCACTGTGCATAAAAGTAAAATGTCCCTAATAACCATTCATATGCACAGTATGCACTGTGCATAAAAGTAAAACGTTTCATGGTTTCTATGCATGTGTGCATTTTATGCACATGTGCATACCGGAGAAATTACTTTTATGGACATGTGCATACCATAGAGATGATTGGTTATGAGGGTGTTTCTCAGTTTTCCATTTTTTGTGGTTTTCCCCTGAACCGGACTCTCTCTCTCTCTCTCTCTATATATATATATATATATATATATATATATATATTTGTTTTTCTTAGGCACTTCACGTCAAGGAATCTTAGAAACAGAATGTAAATGAACAGCAACCTGATCACCTGAATAACGCAAGTACAATCTTGACTCTACTAATTGCTGGTTTGCTTAACCTTGCAGTCTCAAGCAGTTTATTGAACTCATAATACATGTTTTTTCTACTTACTACCATTATAAATAAATTTGAGGATTGTAGCATAAACCCTTACACATAAAGACTCACATTTGGCTAGTGCATCAAAAATGTTTATCAATGGGTCCATAATTTACCTGGCAGTGATTAGCGATGTATCTCCAGCAGATACATGACCTGCACTGGAGATATCCCATAATCCAGGCCACGAATCCTTGCAATCGGTGCGTCGTTGGAGAAGAAGTTCTTGTGTACTTTCAGCAAAAATCCACACATGAACAGCTCGGTGATAATCCCCCTCTCTGTGCACAGCACTTCTGTACAAGGTAGATACAAGAGTTATTTAGTACCTTTCCTTTAGTATTTAAATGTTTGACGGAAAATAAACAGATAAGATCTCTCTCTCCCTCCCTCCCTCGGCCTCGAATATAAACATGTCATCTCAAAACATTACGTACAGTTAGCATTTCCAACTCCTCTAAATAGTCCAAACCTTGAGGATCTGCTCAACCGGCAAAAAAAGGCCAGGCTTTAGGGCTCCTCCGAATTCCATATGTCACTAGTTCAAGTCTTGGCCACTAGAGATTTTCTAGGCTATTATTTTCAGAGGCCATTAAATTAGTCAAGGTACGTCCAAGCTCCCTGGGGACACAGGGTTACAAGAAAAAGATAGTCCATGTTGATTATCAAACTCAAATTGACTAACTTCCAATCTCAAAATTGATATGAACTGCTTAAAACTCCTACAGGAATTTGATAACCACTTGAGAGTACATGAAGATTATTGCAGTTATTTGGGTTTTTGTATGGGGAAGGAAATAAAATCCATTCTGCTTTGAAGCAAAAGAGTTCATAGCAGCCATTCATGGTCAACATAAAGAGCAATAAACACAAAGATCCCAGATGAAACTTCATATCAAACAGATTATGAACTATTTCAAAACTGGAAAACTTATCCCAAAAAATTCTGCAAAAAAGAAATATAACTGTGACACACAAAATACTTGAACCAAAACTATGACTTGTAAAATTCAAATTTGATATGGGGAACTCGTTACAATCTTCTTGATGTAATTTGTAATTCAAACCCCAAGAATTCATATAAATGTTCCAAAACTTGTATCCCCTTTCTCAGTTTCCCTGCAAGAATTACCGAAGTAATCAAAGTTTAAGTCGATATAGAAACCTATAATGACGTGACACTATTTTGAAATGGGTTAACTATCAGAAATAAGAAACCAAACAACAAACATAGAAGATGAGCAAGAAATCTGACCTGGGTTTAGAAACACCAGTTTTGAGACCAGTTTTAGTGAGGACGTCAAAGTGCTCTTCTTCTTCTTCTTCATGTAGGTGATCGGCGTGGCCCATTTTTTTGGTTTCGCTTCTTATGTGGTTAATTTAATTTCAAGTGACACACAATCGACCGATTAGAAGGAACAGGGGAAACATGCAGAATCCTGTTTTCCTAAACTCTAACAATGAATTGCTTATTACGATTTAGGAACAAAAATGGCACGTATGAAATTGACCTACTTCTCCCAAATTTTGGTGGTATGAAATAGTTATGTTTTTAACATCAATCAAACGGACTCTCATTTGTTGTTTTTTAACTGGTTACAAAAAGTTTATCTATTTTCGTATTTATAGTTTGTTTGAGGTTATAATATTTAGACAAAAAGTTGAATAATATAAACAAACAAGATTTTTATTATTTGTTACAATAATAACAAATGCGAAAACAGTGTCAATTTATGATAATATGAGAACTAAAAATCCATGTGATTAAGGAATGATCAAACCTTCAAAGTCAACGTGTCAAGTATGCACGTTTTTGTATTGACCATTTCTTAATTACATGTGATTTCTAGTATAAAATCGTATATGATATAGATGTTCGACTTTATTATCATTTGACCCCACCCCACCCCA